TTGCTTGACTGCCAACAAAATATAGTTGAACCAAGAGTAAACACATAACCTGAAGTGCTTTTCTTGTCTTCTTTAGAACCACCCCAATCGCTATCCGAGTAGCCTATAAGTCATGGTTCCTTCACACTTGTAAAGAACACTCCAAAATGTGATGTTCCTTTGACATATCTTAACACCCTTTTGGCTTCTTGGTAGTGCTTCATCCGAGGTGATGACATGTATCTTGAGAGGTAGGCGCTTGCTTACATCACATCGGGTCTTAATACACATAAGTACAGAAGCCCTCCAACAATACTTTTATACTTAGTCGGATCTCCATACTTTTTGTCATCCTCATCAACACTTTTATTTGGTGGTGTAAGTGGAGTGCTTACAACCTTGTTGTGTCGCATCCCAAACTTATCAACAAGTTTGTTTGCATATTTTTCTTGTGAAAGAAATATGCCTCCATTATCTTGAATTACTTCCATTCCAAGGAAATAGTTCAGCAATCCAAGATCCATCATCTCGAACTCTTTCTTCATATTATCCTTGAATGTGTTGATGATCTTAACATTTTTTCCAGTGATGATTATATCATCCACATACAGACTCACGATCAACACATCTCCTCCTTGCTTCTTGATGTATAAAGCTGCATCATTCATACTTCTTTCAAACTCGTTTTGAAGAAAATATGAATCTATCATTCCATACCATGCTTTTGGGGCTTGATTTAAACCATATAAAACCTTGTATAGCCTCAACACCTTTTCTTTATTTCCTTGTGTCACATACCCAGGTGGTTGTGTGACATACACTTCTTCCTTCAATTCCCCATTGAGAAAAGCTGACTTCACATCCGTCTGATACAAACGCCACTTCATCTGAGCTACATATGTGATTATGGCTCTTATTGTATTATGTCTTGAGACAGGATCAAAGGTCTCAAGGTAGTCAACGCCATATGATTGAGAGAAACCTCTTGCAACTAGTTGTGCCTTATGTTTGATGTGACTTCCGTTTGCATTGGTTTTGATCTTATAGATCCACTTCACACTTATCACATTCTTCTTCTTTGACTTATCCACTAGTTCCCATGTCTTGTTTTTCTCAATCATGGTGATTTCGTCATTCATTTCCTTTATCCATTTCTTGCTACCACACGCTTCATCATAAGTGTATGGGTCTTCATGTGCATGAAGACAATATTCTATTGCTTGAGCCGCCTCTTCAAGCTCTACTCTTGGTGCCTTTTCCATGATCTCAACCATAGACTTAAACTTCTTTGGTGGCTCAGCATCTTCTTCATCTTCATCACTAGTATCAGGATCATTATTTTGAATGAAAAAAAAAGCAGGGCTGGAAATATCTTCGGTTTGTGTTTGTTCTTTAGGCGATTGATCGTCTTCCATAGACAATTCGTTAGGCAACTGAGAGTCTTCCGTAGACATCTCCAATGTCTTCTTGACTTCTTCTAGCCTTTTCCAGTCTCACTTCTTGCTTTCTTCAAACTTTACATCTCTTGATATTTCAATCTTCTCATTCTCCAGGGTGAGAACTCTATAGCATTTGGATTGATTTATATATCCAATAAAGAATCCACACTTTGCCTTGACATCTAACTTCCTTCTCTTCTGATCTGGAACATGTATGTAATATATGCTACCAAACATTCTCATGTGTGACACATCTGGCTTGTGTCCACGCCACTTCTTTATAGGAGTGACATCATCTTATATTGCCGTTGATGGTAGACGATTTTGAAGGTATGAGGCAGTGTATACCGCTTCTGCCCATAACTTGAGTGGTAAATCTTGTTATGCCAACATAGTTCTAGTCATCTCCACCAAGGTCATATTCATCCGCTCTTCTGCACCATTTTGTTGTGGTGAATAAGGCAAGGTAACTTGGTTGTTGATTTCTTTTTCTTCACAAAACCGGTTGAATTCATGTGAAGTGAACTCACCACCACCATCTGACCTCAATGTCTTGATGGTACAACCCGATTGCTTCTCCACCATTGCTTTGAACTTCTTGACAATGAGAAGGTCTCTGATTTTTGTTTCATGAAATATACCCAACACATGTGAGTATAGTCATCTAAGAATAACAAAAAATATCGGCTTCCATGAATGGATTGATGTTGCATTGGTCCACGTACATTTGTATGTACAATCTCAAGTTTTTCACTTGTCTTAGTTTGAGATTCCTTTGGGAAGCTTTTGGGTGATTGCTTTCTAAGTCTACATGCCTCACATGCTCCCTTCCTGACCTAAAACTTTGGTAATCTCTTTACCAAGTCTTTGTCTTGCAGTTGTTGCAACCTTTTGTCGCCTACATGACCAAGTCTCTTGTGCCATGTCTCCATTTTGTTTTGCTCACTTGCGCTCATGGCTTCTTCTTCCTGGGCCGAACTCATCCTAATTCTGTAGCTCTTGTGAGTCATTGTGATATTCATTATCTTCCTTCCTTTCGCATCCTCTATGATGCATCTCTTCTCTTGGAAATTCACCTGGTATCCACTTGAAACAATTTGTGGAACACTCAACAATTTTTTTTCCAAACCTGAAACCAAAAATACATTCCTGATGGTCCTCTTGCCACCCTTAGTCACGACGGTAATACCTATTTTACCGGTTCTCATGACTATGCTTCAATTTCCAATCTTTATTGGAACCTTGACACTCCAAGCCTTGAGAAGTAATTATCTTCCTTTTTCATATGATTAGTTGCTTCACTGTCTATTAATTAGACATCTTCCATCATTGTTGTTGCTTCACTCGCACTGAACAACATATGATCTTCATCAAATGATCATCATCAAAGTCTTCTTCTTCGAGACTTAAATGTGTTTTTTTCATTTTTCTTTGAGTAGCACTGATTTGAAAAATGACCTAACTTGCCGTTGTAATCCTTTTTAGGATCATTCTTTTTCTATTTCCTAAAACACTCACTCTCACTGTGATTGTTCTTCTTGCGTAAATCACACCACTTCTTGCCTCCACGGCATTTTGAGTTGTCTTGTTTGACACCAGAATTTTTCTGTTTAGCACGAGCATCGAATGCTCATTCACTTGTGCTTTCTTCTCTTACAGCCAACATTGCTTCACGAGCCTTCAAAACTGCGATCAAATCTGACATCTTTGTTGACATCTTCAGATTTTCATACTCCTTTCGCAACGTTTGAAGTCGAATCAAATGGACTTGAGCAGAACCTTCATACTCTGCCTTCAATGCATCCCACACCTCTTTAGATGTTGTTGCTGCTGCAATCCGAGAAAAGATATCATCCGATACGGCAGTTTGCAGAATTTGCAAAGCCATTGTATCGTTCACCATCGCTTCTTCTCTAAGCGATCTTACTCTTGCTGTCTCAAGGGTTTCATCCAATTGTGCTGGTGGGACTCCCACGCCTTCTTCAACCACAGACAATAACTTCCTACTCTTGAGAATGGTTGTCATCTTAATACTTCAGAAGTCATACTTCTCCCCATCGAAAATAGAGATCACTTTTTCACATGAAATTTTCTTTTGATTATCAATATTAAAAATGTCTGATTATCAATATCAGAGTCTTCTGAGTTTTAGAAATTTGCAATGAATATTACAATGATGCCCTGTTCTTCTTCTATTTTTTTTTAGTTATTGTTTTCTCTCTACCTTTCAACCATAAGGTTCTGATACCAAGTTGATTTTTATGAATGTTTAAAATTTTGAAGAAAGAAAAGAAAAGAAATATGAATATAGTTAACTTGCTATGTTTTGTGAAAGAAAAAAACAAAGTATAACTTGTATTGTATTACATTCAAAACTAAATTGTTTTCTGAGACAAATACTCGATCTATATTTATAGAGAATGAACTGATGTGTTGAGAAGACACAACTCTTTGTTGTAAAGATACAATTCTTAATTGTAAAGACATAACTCTTAATTGTACAGACACACCTTTTCTTATTAAAAGGACACAACATGAAGAGTTACAACTCTTTGTGTGATAACTAACTAATTTAAATGTATTAAGGAGAGATTTGATTATATAATTTAACAGATGGCTAGATCTAGTGGTTTCAACTTGGGGGGAGCATATTCATCACATACTACATCTTGTATCCCTACATGAATTCAAGCCAAGACTTTCCTCCATTTGCACTTCTCGTATAATTGTTATTTTGTGACCAGACTGGTGGGCTACAAGGTCTTGGCTTGAGACCTCTAAGGTCGCCCAATACAGTTTCAAGAAACGATTATAACCAGCTTATTCAGCAGTATCAGCAGCAACCAAATCAATCCCAATTTCCTGTGCAACAGATGTCATCCCTTCTCTCGATTAACTTAAAATAAATGTGTTATCATTTTCGTTGGTTGCAGCGAGCAAGTTTCAAAAGGTTCTCGTATGAGTTATTGTCTTACACATTTTACAGGTTTTGTTAAGAGATCAGTATTCAACATCTCATTTGCCAACTTATGAATCATCTTGTTCCAATATAACACATTGACATTGCTTCAAATTACTGTTCCAGTATGCCAAAAGAACAAGCACAGCTATACGCAGCAGATGAACTGTACGTTTTTTTCTCTCTCTCTCTACTAACAATCTTGAATATCCATTTCCTCTGTTCTCTTTGGCTGAAGCTTTGATTTGATTGATAAGTTGCTGTTATGATAGAGGTTGGTTTTACCACAAGGAACTCAGATTATGGTTATTCAGAGTAGGGGAACCTTAGGGTCAGAACAGCTGTATATGAAAGAGGAACATACGAGTGCCTTGATCCAAACTCATTCAAAACAGTCAGAAAGGTAAATCAAAGATTACTGAAGGAATGTGTTGTATATCTCGATACTTGAATTTGCGTTGTGGGGTTTCTTTCAGCGTGTTTGTTTGTTGCGGTAACGTTTCGTTTACATGTAACTACGCCTTTATCGTTGCGTTATCCACACGGTTAAGTGCGTTAAACCGAATCAAACCGGTTGGTACGCATTTTCGATTGGTTAATTGAAACAACAGTTTTTTATTTTTATTTTTTGTGCACAAAATTAAAACAACACTCTAATCTCGTTAATCATGTACATAAGACTATCATCATTCATCGCCCCTCAGATTTCACGAGCTGTGAGAAGACTTTACTCATGGAAACACCTGAAAGATCATCACCACACGACTCTTCTTCTTCTCCAAACCGTCTCTCTCTCGCAACTACAGCAACACTAACACTCGTGTCTCCATGGTTGTTATAATCATTAAACCGTAACGGTAACTCACCGATCATGTTGGTACTATTATCATCTTCTTGATCACAATCAACACCAGCTTCTTGAAGCTGCAAAGCATACTCAAGATTCCACAACACATCTCCCATCGATGGCCTATCAACTCCATAATCAGCTAAACACTTCTCCCCTGTTTCACCAAACTTCCTTAGCGAATCAGGGATAATCTTACCACGCAACGACTGATCAATAACCTGTTCAAGCTGTCCTTTCTTCTGCCATTTCATCGCCCACTCCGCAAGATTCACCATCTCCCTAGGAAGCGTTGGGTCTATAACGGGTCTCGCGCATAGAACCTCGAACATAACGACTCCGAATGAGTAAACATCTGACTTCTCTGTGAGCTGTTGTCTTCTAAAATACTCAGGGTCGAGATAACCGAAACTTCCTTTAACCGCGGTACTCACATGTGTCTGGTCTATCTCCGGTCCGGTCTTAGACAATCCGAAATCCGCAACTTTCGCCATTAGATTCTCATCTAACAATATGTTTGCTGATTTAACATCTCTATGGATCACAGATTTGGAGTCACCGGTATGGAGATAATGTAACCCTCTAGCTGATCCAATACATATCTCAAGACGTTGCTTCCAACTCAAGCTAGGTAAACCAGAACCGTAGAGGTGACTCTTCAACGTCCCGTTCTTCATGTACTCATAAACAAGAATCATCTCGCTGTTCTCGTCGCAGTAACCGATTAGAGAAACCAAATGTCGATGTCGGAACTGAGACAACATTTCGATCTCTGTCTTGAACTCTGCAAACCCTTGCTGAGACTTAGGGTTACCTCTTTTAACAGCTACTTGCGTCCCATCTTGTAGCACTCCTCTGTACACTTTACCAAAACCTCCGACTCCAATGGCACGGTTCTCGTCGAAGCTGTTTGTTGCTTCTTTAACCGCAGCAAGAGGGATTCGGTAGCTTGAGTTAGAAGTTATACTTGCAACAGTAGCTCCTCCACTTGAGCCTGTAGACAAAGGAGTCCAAGTCTTTGAGTGATTACCTCGTCTTCGTTTCTTGAACAGTATAAAGAAACCTCCAAGAACCACTAAAGCAAGTAAAGAACCAACGATTGCACCAACAACCACACCAACATTCTTCTTCTTCTTCTTGGTTGAACCACCAGGCAAAAGAAATGTCCCTGTACTAAGCTGACCTTTAGAGTTATTCATCTTCATAATCTCTAACCCATTCATAATCCCATCAGGGTAAGCCCCACGTAAACTCGATGGACCAATACTCACACGGATAATTTTATCATTCTCTTTTGCTGATTCCATCACATAATCCATCACGTATGCAGCGGCTAAAGAGTTTAGATAAACGCTTAAATCAAGATCCCTGACAACCATCATCGAGTCAACGTATAAATTAAAGTAAAGCTGGTTTAAAGACTTGCTCACAATATCACAGAAATGAAACCGGAGAAAGTAACGAAAACCGGTTTCGACATCAAACTCCCACGTCACATTGAAATTGCTATTCGGATTAGCACCAGAGTTCATCTCGTTGCAAGTACCGTATACAGTTCTTGGAGCAGTTTCCTCTGTTGCAAAACCTGGTTTATAATCAACACTCGGAATCTTAGAAACATTCTTAACTAGATTCTTCTCTACTAGAAACTCTGAATCTGTCTCCCAGATCCTCGAAAGAGTATCGTTATTAGGTGTTACACGTGGACCACCCATGTTGACTCTATGAACCGTCTCGAGAGCTTGTCCGTGACTGCCTGCAACACCGTTGATCAATGTATCAGGAACGGAGACAACCTCTAGTGCGTTCACAAACGCGAAGGAGTTAGTAGAGGGAGTAAACGTGAGCTCGAGGTGATCCGTGGCTACGTTTAGATAATATTCCTTAATAACTCGTGACTTCACAGTGAAGTCACTCAAGAAGACATGTGTTTGCGACGAGACTGAGAATTTGGCTGACAACATTTGGAAGGTTTGGTAATGAAAAGGACTGAAATGGAGACGAACCCAGTGTGGGCCTTTAGCGATGGAGAATCTGTAGATAGAGATTCCTGTGAAGATTCTCGCCGTCTGGTAGATATCCGAAACTGAGTTCCGGTTACTTGCAGCCAAGATTTCACTGGGAGAGTTTAGGAGGTTTGAGGCAAGTTTGTCAGAGATGAACACACGACCAGATACAGTGACATTGTTGGTTGATCCACAGTTGATAAGGTAATTATCTACCGGTACATATCCATGGCAGAGGCAGGGTAAGCAAGAAATAAATGAAACCCAGATCAAAAATCCAAACTTTTCACCACTCATCTTCACAAAGCCTAGATTCAAGGGATGCAGTATGAGCAAACTTAAAAAAAAAAAAAAAAAAATTGTTTTAGCAAAGATGACAGCTTTATGAAATAAAAAAAAACCACAGGGATGAAGTTTTAAGTAATGGTCTGATGAAATGAAGCATCAATACAATAAACACGTACCTTTTAACACAATTAATCCGTGAGATTGAGGATCAGCTGATGTATTGATCTCCAGACTTTTGAGTTTTGTTTTGCTTTAAAACTGTATTTGGAGCTTAACACAGAGGTTCCATTAGAGAACAGAGAAGTTTATTTTGTGAAACAATAAAACATTAATGTGTATATATATTTGAATATATTAATTTAATATATGAATGTGTGTGTATTGAAGCTGGCTAACAAACAAATAAAGGAAAGAACTTGATTTTTTTTAAAGAACTGGATTGAATTTGTCAGTATGATTTTTCTGATGGCTGGAGACAACGAAAGTTTCCACTAATTTTTTTACCAGAAAAGAAAAAAAAAACTTGCAGAAAACGTAAGTTGGTACGTTACACTATACCGTTTCTAAAATGTGTCAAGAAATAACAATATTTAATACCCTACTTTTTCCTAGTTCCTATTTAATTTGGTTAACCCTAATAATAGTGATTATCTTATCGTTTTCGTCTGCATTGTCACTCCTAATACACTCTGTGATTAAGTTGATCGATATATTGCTATTTTTGTTTTTCTGAAATAAAAATTAAGGTAGCGGATGTAAAAACGAAAATCAGCATATATTGGGTTTTGTGATTCGTGAACATCTCTAAACGCATGTACCAAACTTTCGATCGTATTTATAGAATGCACATGAAATGTTTCGGTTTCTGCTCATGGGATTCAGTAATAGATTCTCATGAATATACTATTCCATTTTTGTTCTGCACTTCTGCTGGGAGGTTCAACACAAGGTTTTGTTACATAAACTTACAAGTCACTGTATCATGGATCTAAAGCTTATCGACTGGAAATAAATGAAGAATGACGACATTAACCACCCCCACTATTCGTCTACTTGTGACATAACATATATTATAGTTTACGTGAAAGGAGTGATAAGATCCCACCCACTATATTTTGATCAAAGTAGAGGTAATCCCACTACATAAATATTCATTGCCAATTGGGAATTATGTAATATAATGTTTAGATCTCAACCTGAAAAGACACTTATGGTGGACCTGATGCGCCGATGAAAAATTGACACCTCTAGTTCCGACACTAAAAAGTGGAACACAACAATTTTGTACATTTGTTTAATTCCTACTTGAAGTGGCTGGCTGCGTTTTGATTGCTTTCTTTCGTTTGTTAATATTTTTGTGAAAGATGAGTTACATGGCCCAAGTTCTGATTAGGGATTAGAACAGTTGTCAAGCTAAGAGGACTGTATTTGTTTGAGGCGATCGGGTTATGCTGCCCCATATATTGAACTACGCGTCTAGAACACCCAAGACATTTCATTATATGAGGTATTAAAATATTTCTAAAGGTAGATACAGATACTTTGGGAAAATAAGTGATAGGATTGGATGATTTGATAAGCCTTTTGTCTTACAGATATTGTCAAAACAAAAAAAAAAATTACATCTTAAAATACCTTCTTATTTTTTTCACCTAAAGTACCTTCTTTTTTTCCACAAATTTTGATAAGCTTTTAGTCTAACGATTGAATTGCATTGAATGACGCAAAACGTTAAGATGGACTAGAAAAGATCTAACGTCGTTTTCATAGAGTTGGATGATTTGGTTTGTTTACTAGTAGCTAGTATTCATAAAACAATAGATGTTAGGTACGTAAATAACAAGTAGCACACATCCTGTCGTTTTGTTTTATATCTAGCAGTAGGCATCGTGATATAACAAAAGTTACCAGAACTTGAGAAGTAGGAGGACAGGGCATTTTATCTATTAAATGTGATTCCATCCAGATCCGAAAATTCTGGATATCCGATAAATTTCAAAGCAAAAAAATATTAAAAATCAATATCCGTTAAAAGTGAAACAAATAAGAAATATTACAATTTTGGAAAGCGGATATCCGCTCTCCAATTCAACAATAGATAAATACATGTATATCTTGATTATATTTAAAGTTTTAAATGTATAAAATTATATAATTATTATTCTAACATATGATTTGACAAATTGTATTCACATTATTATTTATATCAAAGTATTACCAAAAAGAAGAGAAAAAAATTATAAATCTTTTCTTAAATTTTTTGTTATTATAATTGTTAGCTAAGTTTAAAAAAGTTACAAAAGGATGACAAAAAAAAAATTTACAAAGGATGTAGATTCACTACTTCTTTTAATTTTTATTTTATATATCATGCAAAAAATATTTTACAAGATAAATTTGTATCAAATTTGTATGATTAATTGTATTAATCAAAATGGATGAGATATCTTTAAATATTCGTAAACATCCACAAATATTTTTTATTTTCGGATATCCATTTTTCCGGATATCCATATTTTACCGAAGCAAAGCAAATCGAAAAATTAGATTTCGAACATATGAAGCAAATCAAAAATACTTTCAAAAATCTAGATATCCGATCTATGTCCAGCTAACGAAATTTAACCCCAAAAGAAACATGTCATGTTAGAATGGGCCCAAACAATGATCTGAAACTAAGGTTTTTTTCATACACAAACACAACACATTTCCTTGTCTAGAGGCTTTAGTGGTGCCCGTTATGACCACCTGCTAATTCCCTCCATCACCAATCATTCAACCAAAAACAAATTTGGTCGACCTCCGGTCCAGCTATGCATTTGATGCGCATCAAATGCTCACACGGATTATCTTACTATGTTTTGCTGATTCCGTCACATAATCCACCATGTATGTAGCTGCTAAAGTGTTGTTTACATAAGCACTTAGATAAAGATCTTTGATAGCCATCATTTCAAGTCTTCACATCTTCTTTCTAGAGTTATTATCCCATATTTATTTTCATAATTTGCTTATGTTTTCTATGTAAAAAATATATTGTTCTCATAATTTACTCAAAAATTCTTATATCTTGCTTATGTTTTTATGTAAAAGTATGATGCAAAATATTGATATAATTTAATGTTCTTTTAGCCTTTTGTGATATATAAATTCATATTGTATATATTCCTTATTTTCATTTTAAATAACTATAAATTTTTAAAAGTAATATTTAATAAATAAGTCAATAAAGAATTTTTTGTAGTAAACAACAAAGTCTTCAAAATTTCAAAAAAATCGGAACCTAACTGTTTGAGTGGACTCAACAACTCCGACAGCTAAACTAAATCTGCACTTCAACCTAACATGGGTTTTCAGCATGGACTCTAGCAATAGTCTCACAAAACATGCATAACTGATCTTATATACTTCCATTTCATCATATGAGCGAGACATTCTACGATCAAGAGAAAAATGTGAAAAGCATAATTTACTTGTATCATTTGACAGTAGTTGGACACAGTTATTCTTTACTTGGCTAGTACTCACTATTTAGTCAATACTTAATTCGTAAAGTCGAGTATTTGATCTGATCAAGTTGAATATTAAGTAATATGTTTAAGTTACTTAAAAATATAAATCAACTATCAAGTATTAAAATAAAAGTAATTATTTGACGCTGTTTGACTTGTTACTCATTTATGTTAATGAACAAAAAATACATTAATCATAGTAAAATAACTTGTCTACATTTCTATTTCCATAAGTGAATCAAAATATATTTATATAATTATCTTGGAGTTATATATATATATATATATATATATATATATATATATATATATTATGTTTCTCGGATTGACTAAATTAAGAAAAATAATGTCATATTTTTTAATAAATAATAAAGTTATTTAGTTTTGAATTCCATTGAATTAACAAAAATAATGTCCAATATCTAAATCAGACATAGAAATTTCAATAGCGGTAACATAACACATTAACAATTGTTTTCTTATGCTAAGAACAAACATTTTTTGTAATGCTAATAATTTTCAAATAACTTGCAAATAATTTATAAATAATAAATAATAAAATAAAGCAAGTACTTGAAAATATAACTATTTGTTTTAACAAACCAATACAAGTAAAAAGAATTACTATTCGTCAAGTCAAGCCTTGTGCCACCCACCATTATTTGGCATAATGTACTTTTCACCAAAATTTTATAATCTGGCAGAATATTCTATAATTCAGTTTTTGCTTTTTCCCTTTATCGAAGTCACCAAAATCTTTATATTATTATTTACAGACATTTTGAAAATTTTGTACAAAAAGGAATCAAATGTATAGAAATATACGATTTTTTATTGTGAACTCAAGGATACAATTATCAATCACTTTCCTCACTGCTCCGCCTTTTTGCTTATAATACCTTTTCTCTAGTCTCTACCAGAGCTTGATACATGACCTTCACATTACCTGTTGGAACAGCCAGTAAGGTTTGCGATTTATCATTTCCTTCTTCCTCTCTTCCTCCTTCATCATTCAGAGGATTGAAGGTTCTGTGAGAATCATACCCAAACATGTGAGAAACATAGATATTCAAAATCAATTTAGTAGATTGTTTGTAACGCACAATTGCTACAGAAATTGTTTATGTGTGTGAGGTAGAAGGACAATGCCATAGTTAGGCATTTTACAGTTGCAACTATCTGTAGATGCAGTGGAATAATCTGACACACGACACATGTAACTGTTAGTGTTGTTGCTGATCTCTCAGAGATTACATGAACTTTACTATTAGAGATTTAACAGAAAGAAAAAAAAGGTTTTGGTGCCTTAAGTGACTGAGATCGACCATAGAGTCAAAAATGAACATCTACCGGAAAAAGGCATTAAATGAAAAGAAATCTTGAATGTCCAATATTAAAACCTTAAGAAGGAACTCAGTACCACATGTATTCAAATAAAAGCTCTAGGGATAAAATGCTAACAATTACTGCACATGCGGGTAATGCAGTTAAAAGCCTACCCCCAAGGTTTCTCTGGTCTCTGGCCAGATGGCACTGGAGGATTCAGAGCTGGTTAACGTGTAAGACTCGACTGTTGGATCACAGATACTATCGTGAGGATCTGATAATATGCTTTAGAGGTTTTAAATGATGTAAAACATATAAAAAAAAATAGATGTTACTTACTCTTGGTTTGGAACTAGAGTGGAGCTATAGTCAACCTGTGGATACTTCAAGATTGTCCAATCAAATACATAAGTCAAACTGATAACCTCTGCAAATATATAACGCTAAACAAAAATTGGTTAGTTTTTATAAAAAATAAAAACAATATTCGAGCATAAGCTACTGGAAAGTAAGAATATGGAGGAGTTTCGGTGAGGCATTTTATCAAACACGTAGCATGCTATGAATATACATATTCCATAAAGAGGAAAAAGATGACATGTTTTGGAAGGATTTGATTACCCTTTTTTTAATTAACTCAACCATTTCATAAAAGTATTTGCAATTTAAGTGGAGATACTGAAGAAGCAAAACTCACTTCACTCCAGGCTATAGAATGATCTCGTGTATGCCATTTTCGGACATAACGACTCAACTTAACTCTACAACATGGAATAGAGAGACACGAAGCGTATAAGTAAAAGGCCTGTTCGAATGGGGCCCAAACAATGGTCCGAAATTAAGGCTTTTTCCAACACACACACACACACTTCCTTGTCTAGAGACAGGCTTTTGTGGGGACCATTATGACCTCCTGCTAGTGGCAATCATTCAGCAATTAAAAAAAAAAAAAGTTTTTTATTATTCTCAATAATAATGTAATTTAATAAACATATTTGGATCCCATTTTTCTAAATCTTGCTTTCCGTCGTCTCCTTCCCCAATATCCGTTTTCGATTTAGGGCACCAATCTCTGTAAAAAAAGCATTTAAAATCAATCTTCTTCCCGATACTCTCTAATCCTATCTCCAGTGTTTCTGAATTGGGCAGTGCTATCCTCTCCCCCTCCTCCTCTGTTCCGTGAGTGTATACATAAATCTCGCGATTCCAAGGGTTTTCGGAGTTCAATTTTGTTATTTCACTGTTTTAATCTGTTACTTAGTCTGAATTACGTCTGTGTTGATTGAATTTTTTATTGGATTCTCGTCAATTTTGATAGTTAATTTCTCCTTCTGAATCTATAGATACGGCTGATCTTCTTGCTTTTAGATGAACAGTGTGTATATATTATGGTTTACTGATTTAGATTATGGTTTAGTTAGCACCGGCTATAGTTTACTTTGTATATAAACTTTCTCTGTACATCAACATTTTACAATTCACAGAAATTAAATTACTTTCCAACTCTTCTTCTTCCCGAGAGCTGAGTTTCTGTTCAATCTCAAGTTTACTTAAAGTATACTACTATGTTAACTCCTCTGGTCCTGCACCATGCTTATTATGATTTTTGTGTCAATTTCAGTTTCATCAGCTTTTTAATTGGATCCTTGTCAGTTTTGATTTTTGTGAATCTGTTCATTGACTATCGATTTTTCTGTTAGAAGTTGATTTCATGGTTTTGCTGATTCCTTTATCTCCTGCTGATGAGTGTATATACTATGTTGACTTCTCTGGTGGTTATTAAGTCTTATGTAAAGTACTGTTTCTTTGTGTTTGATTCTGAATTTTGACAGCTTTGTTTGTCTTTTTCTCAGGCTATTGGCTGTTGCGTGTTTTGTAGCCGAATGATATATTGTCTCGCGTGATTGTCAGCTCCTGCAATGTCAAACCTTCATGTATACCTTCTTTTCCCCCATTAATCATTTATATATTATCAAAAATACTCAAAATATGTTTTTTTTTTTTCTGTAAGACATTGTTTATTTAATCGATTCTTGTATTCTTGCCTTTGCAGTCCTCTCTCAATGGTTCAGCTTCGAATCTACCAGATGGGTCTGGCAGATCTTTTGCTGCTTCCTATTCTGGTGCACCATCTCCCAGTTTTCATCATTCTGGTGGTGGTTGTGATACTTATCTTGACACCTTTTTTTTATATATATTTTCTTCTGTTCTTAAACTTACTAGCTTCATTTTTTCCCTTCATGTAGGAAGTCTTCAGGGACTTCATAATCTTCATGGTGGCTATAATGTCGGGAACATGCAAGGTACACTTTCATCAAGAAACTCAAGTATGAATAGCATACCATCTCCTGGTGTACAACAACCTAATGGGAGTTTTTCCAGTGGAAGATTTGCTTCAAGTAACATCCCTGTTGCTCTCTCTCAGGTGCATTTGGATTCAAAAATTCTATGAAAAATAGTTCTGTTTCTTAATATTTATATATCTCATATTGTTCAATGACTGTTCTGTAGTTATCTCATAATAGCTCACATGGGCATTCGGGAATCCCAAACAGAGGAGGAATAAATGGATTTAGTAGTAACGCAAATGGAGTTGGTGGTTCTATTCCTGGGGTTCTCTCCACATCTCCAGGACTCAGTAATCGGAACAGTGTTCCAATGGGAATGTCCCAATTGTTGGGAAACGCAGGTCCTCGAATAACATCAAATGCAATGGGAAACATGGTTGGTGGAGGTAACTTGAGGAATATCAGCACTGGTGGATTGTCACGACTAACTTTGGGAGCTAATAGCGGATCAGGGTTAAGTGTTCAGGGACAGAACCGAATGCTGGGTGGACTTCCTCAAGGTATGTATGATTTATCCATTTCTTTCCATTTTTCTATTATAGAACTATGGAAAGCACCTTTTACTTTTAATGATTATGGGTCTTTGGTATAGTAACTAGGAAGTGTTGTTTGAAATTAAGTAAAAAGGTGATTTGCTTAATAGCCACCCATTATATATACTTCTCTAGACTCATATGAGTAAAAGGTAGAGAAAGCAAACTTTGCTTTCAGCTCACATACTCTGGGATTATATAGAGATTGTAAGACGAGCTTGTTTTAATTCACACTTTCTAATTTTATTTACGTAAACTTGCAATAAGCTGTATGTAGATATAGTTAAAATCTGATTGCAGAATTTTATGGTACAGGATCTCAGGTCATGTCTATGCTGGGGAACTCGTATCACACTGGTGGCGGCCCCCTTTCGCAGAACAATATGATGCTGAGTGATCACTCTAATGACAGTTCACTTTTTGATATCAATAACGATTTTCCCCAGCTGTCAAGTCGTCCTGGTTCCGCTAGTGGCAATCAAGGACAACTCGGTAGTCCATTTAGCTGAACTATCATTTGAAAATTCGTATACTTTAATATAAAAGAAGTCTTGTTCCCTCATAATCTATTGTTGGGGTTTTCTAGGTTCTTTGAGGAAACAAGCTTCAGGAGTCCCCATTGTCCAACAGAACCAGGAGTTCCGCATCCAAAATGAAGACTTTCCTGCCTTACCTGGATATAAAGGTGCTGGTCTTTTATTTTCTATAGTTTTGTATTGTTGTGCATAAAGTTGGGTGTTGCATATGTTATGTGCGCAAAATGAGGAATATCTTTTCTAGTTTCCCCAGTTGTCAAAAGTTCCACTCACGATGTGCTCTAAAATTTCATGAAAGCACTTTTTCAAATGTTCTAAAACTTAGGGGGTTAATAAACTTCTTAACTGCCTTACTACTCTATAGCTTATTGCATTAGAAAGATTGTAAGATGTTTTCCTACACATGTGTTTCTAAATGTTAGAAGCTAAACCTGCTGGATCGTTCACAAGCGTAGTAGATTTTTCGCAGGTGGTAGTTCTGATTATCCGATGGACATGCATCAGAAAGAACAACTCCATGACAATGCTATGTCAATGATGCACTCTCAAAACTTTCCTGTAAGCTTTAGACTGTTTCAAAACAAGGAAATTTTTTCTGTTTGATATTATTATTTTGTGGGTTAATTTATGAATGAATATTGCAACTATGCAGATGGCTAGATCTGGTGGTTTCAGCTTGGGGGGAACATATTCATCACATCGTCCACAACAACAGCCACATACTTCATCTGTACGTGACAGCTTCTCGTATCACTTCCTGAATTCAAGCCAAGTCTTTCCTTCCCCCATATGCATATCTCATATAATTGTTGTTTTGGCACCAGACTGGTGGGCTACAAGGTCTTGGCCTGAGACCTCTAAACTCCTCCCTCAATACAGTTTCAAGTAACGGTTATGACCAGCTTATTCCGCAGTATCAGCAGCAACAAAACCAATCCCAGTTTCCTGTGCAACAAATGTCATCTATCAACCAATTTAGAGATTCTGAGATGAAGTCGTCACAGTCTGAAGCAGATCCTTTCTGCTTGCTTGGCTTGCTAGAGGTACTAAACGGGAGCAACCCTGAATTGACCTCTCTTGCTCTTGGCATCGACTTAACGACGCTAGGGTTGGATTTGAATTCAACTGGGAATCTCTACAAGACATTTGCTTCCCCTTGGACCAATGAACCGGCAAAGACTGAGGTTGAGTTCACAGTACCAAGTTGTTACTACGCCACACCACCTCCGCCTCTCACTGTAAGTGTCCTCTGATCCTGTGAGTAACACCATTTGTTTGTTAGCTTATAACAAATGTGTTATCATTTTCGTTGGTTGCAGCGAGCAAGCTTCAAAAGATTTTCCTATGAGTTATTGTTCTATACATTTTACAGGTTTGTTAGAGATCAGTACTCAACATCTCATGAATAATCTATGTTCCAATCTAACACATTGGTTTTACTCTAATTATTGTTTCAGTATGCCAAAAGACCAAGCACAGCTATACGCAGCAGATGAACTGTATGTTTTTTTCCTGTCTCTCGACCAACAATCTTGATTATTCATTTCCTCTGTTCTCTTGGGCTGAAGCTTTGATTGATATATCTTGCAGTTACGAAAGAGGTTGGTTTTACCACAAGGAACTCAGATTATGGTTATTCAGAGTTGGGGAACCTTTGGTCAGAACAGCTGTATATGAAAGAGGAACATACGAGTGCCTTGATCCAAACTCGTTCAAAACAGTCAGAAAGGTAAATCAACGATTACTTAAGGAATGTGTTGTATATCTCGATACTTGAATTTGTATTGTAATTAATGTTTTTTCGGGGATGGTTGTTGCAGGAACATTTTGTTGTCCAGTACGAGCACCTGGAGAAGAGACCAAGCTTGCTGCAGCATTGACTTCAAGTAGGTTTGTTAAATTACTAGCATCTTTACAGTGTAAAGCTTCTTTCTCTTTTTCTTCATGCAAGCCTCATTGTTAAGAACCCAAACCATATCTTCACAATCTTCAATTTTTAACCTCAAAAGTTCTGCCATATAAAGTAATATACTATAGTCAGTTTTCTTTTCTGTGTCTGTGTCTTATGATGAATAATATTTAGTCTCTTTTAGTCTTGACCAAGCATGACAAGAACGGGTAAATAACTCGATAGAAATCAATCGAACAGTTAAGATATTTCTTTTTTTTCAGTATTCTTGTTTAGTAATTGGTGTTTGTGTAAACCAAAACGTGCCCCAGTTCTGGTATGTGTTTAGACAAAATTTCATTGTCGATGTTAGCAGTATCAGTATTGTATTCCAGTAATGAGACAAAGTAAAAGTGTTTTCCGCTGGTATTGTTGTTCTACACATTTCTTATATAGTATAGGGGTGGTCTTGAATATAGTTAATGTGACTCATTTGAGTATTATACATTTTCGACAATGATCCAGATGAGTTTAGTTGATGTATAGAAATCTGAAAATAACCAAATAACTGAAACGACTTTGGTTATTTGTAACTAAGTTAATCATATTACCATATTTGATTTGGATATTTTGTATCTAAACTATCTATTTTATTTAGAATTGACTAAAAATATTTGTTAGATACATTTTTGTTTGGGTATTTTTATCTGAAATATCATACTGTATCTAATATACTTAAAATATCAAAATAACTAATATATTTCATATATAATTTTAATTTTTAAATTATTAAAATAATTATAAGTATAATTAAAAATAATATTTTCAGATATATATTTACATTTCAAATATTTTCGAATACTTATTCGATTCTTGAATCTATTTGGTTATTTATCTCGATCGAATTCGAGTCCTTGATTTTCAGATCTGGATATTTTGTCAGCCCTAATAGTTAAGGGGGGGGGGGTCATATGTATAATATGATACAAGAGCAAGCTTATCATATACAATAAAACCTATAAAATAATAATGTTGGAACTACATCAAAATTTATTTATTTTTATTAATTTAGAGAGATATTAATTTTTTGAAATATTAATCGAACCAAAAACTCAATTTGGAACTATAAAATTATATTATTTTATAGAGATATTTAGTGTAAATTTATAGAGGTATTAATGTTAACTTTTACTAAATGGTGGTATAAAGGAGATGGGCCTTAATCAAAGAAGGCCATCACGACTGAGCCCGTATAATCGAAGGAGATAGGGTACCTAGAGAAAAGGAAACGGCAGGTCGTTTATGTGTCAGCTGAGGAATGCACGTCGTCGGGTTTCAACAACCGAAACTTCCTGAAATGCCTCGAGACATCTGTCACTTATTAGACAGACTCTAGACAATAAACGAAGAGTTTAGAAAAAGTGCACTTTCTAATTCAAGAAACTCGAAGAACGTTCTCCCTTCATCCTCCACTACCTTATATAAATAGACCCCCTTGCTCGATACAAAACATCAGATCAAAGAAGTAAAACACAAATCAAGAATCAAACAAAGTTCAAGTCACTCGAAAACACAACAAGAATGTCTCTAATTCCAAGCATTTTCGGAGGACGCAGATCAAACGTTTTTGATCCCTTCTCGCTAGATGCATGGGATCCATTCGAAGGTTTCTTCACTCCTTCCGCGTTAGCAAACGCAACCGGTTCAACCGCTCGTGACGTGGCAGCGTTTACAAGCGCAAGAGTAGATTGGAAGGAGACGCCAGAGGCACACGTGTTCAAAGCAGATTTGCCGGGGCTAAAGAAAGAAGAAGTGAAGGTTGAGGTTGAAGACAAGAACATACTTCAGATAAGCGGAGAGAGGAGTAAGGAGAACGAAGAGAAGAACGACAAGTGGCACCGTGTAGAGAGGGCAAGCGGGAAGTTTATGAGGAGGTTTAAGTTGCCAGAGAATGCTAAGATGGAAGAAGTGAAGGCGACGATGGAGAACGGTGTGCTTACGGTTACGGTGCCGAAAGCTCCTGAGAAGAAGCCTGAAGTCAAGTCTATTGATATCTCTGGCTAAGTCAAGTGTCGACGAAAATGAAGATTGAAGATTTGGTGGTGGAATAAAAAGTGTGATTGCGTAAAGCTTTGTGTGGTCTTTTGGTTTGTTGTATCTTGAAAATGTTGTTTTTTTCTTCTGAAAATCGTGAATGTAATATGCTCTTATCATGAATAAACCAATGTTTTTATAATCAATCACGGACAGTATATTAAATCTACCTGGAATAAATGATCAAAACAAAAGTGGAGTTTGATAAAAAAAAAACAAAAGTGGAGTAGAGAAGATGGGAAACATCATCTTTATCAATCACATACGCTACGGAACTGGCTTACGTTAGAGGCATGATGTGTTCGGTTAGTAGTTTTCAAGCCGAGTAAAAAGAGAAAGGCAGAATTGCCAAAACTAACCCAAATATTTATTTTAACCCTAAAGATGTACCTTATAATCAATCAATTACAAACCCAATCTAAATGAGTGTTAAAACTATTATTTAACCCTTATGAACAAATAAAAAATGTGGAATATATTTTATGATTATGTCCTTCGAAAGTCTACACTTTAAGAAAGAAGTCTAGTAGACTTACATTAACGTCTACTGTGTAGACTAATATAGACTTATTATTTAGTTTACATCTTAATTTAATCAAATAATTTAATTTTAAAAATGTAGAAAAAATATTTTTGGTAAATTTTTTAATATGGTTAGTATGAAATATATAAATTAAATTCATATAATTGAACAATTTAAAAGAATGTATACTGATTTGGAAACTATGTGGTATACAATGTTAATGGTTTAGCAACCAAAGGTTCTAACAAGTTATGTTTTTTAGAGTTAGATTCTTAGGGTTAGATTCTAGATTTAGAATTATTTTTTTTTCATGATTCAAAATTGCATATTTAATGCTGAGTAGTTTATATTTTGTAGATATATGATATTTGGTACAATGATTAAGTTTTTTTTATAATCAATCAAACGTTTAGGGTTTGAGATTTGGGGTTTAGGGTTTGAGATTTCTGATTTAGGGTATAGTAGACTTACAGTAAAGTCTACTTATATGTAGACGTCTATTTCAGTCTACGTTAATTCGTGTTTACCAAAATAAATTATTTTAAAATTAAAATTAACTAAGCGGGAAATGAAAATGAATTTTGGAGCCTATTTTCCCATATTGGCGACAATATTTAGGGTATAGTAGACTTACAGTAAAGTCTACTTATATGTAGACGTCTATTTCAGTCTACATTAATTGGTATTTATCAAAAATATATTTTAAAATTAAAATTAACTAAGCGGAAAGCGAAAATGAATTTTGGAACCTATTTTTCCCTATTGGCGCAAATACTTACGGTAAAGTCTACTTCGATAGTAGACGTCTCTTTTAGTCTACTATAATTGGTGATTACAAAAAAAAATTATTTTAAAATTAAATTTATTATTTATGAATTAAAATATGAATTAAAATTTGATCAACAAAAAATATATACTAAGTCTACTAAATATATAATGAAAAGAAAAATTTTAGATTATATATTATAAACTATTTAAACAATAAAGAAAAATATTATAGTAGACTTCTTTAGAAGTCTACCTAACCTAAAGTTTTAACCAAAATAATTTTAACCAAACCAAAATTAAAACAAAGAGTTTTAACCTAACCAGAAAAATGACGGACCAAGTCGGCCTTCATCGCTGGTAGAGTGATCACGGACAACATCATGATAACTCATGAAATCTTACACTTCCTCAAGAGATCGGGAGCAACGAAACACTGCGCCATGGCAGTAAAAACCGACATGAGCAAAGCTTATGACCGGCTTGAATGGAATTTCATTGAAGCTGTGCTGAAGAAGTTTGGGTTCCATGATATTTTTTGTGGATGGATTATGAGCTGCCTCACGACTGTCCAATACTCAGTGCTGCTGAACGGCGAAGCTCAAGGATTGATTACTCCCACTCGAGGGATCCGGCAGGGAGACCCGCTATCACCCTTCCTCTTCATCCTATGCAGTGAGGTCTTATCAGGGCTTTGCTTAGCAGCACAACATAAAGGAACTCTCGCAGGTATACAAGTAGCGCAAGCCAGCCCAAAGATCAACCATCTGCTCTTTGCAGATGACACTAGTTCTTTGCAAAGACAACAGAGCGGAGCGTAGCGGCACTGAAGGAGGTGATCCAAAAATACGAAGCAGCGTCGGGTCAGGCCATCAATGCCAACAAATCTGCTATCACTTTCTCAAACAAGACCCCTCCAGAGATAAGAATCAGAGTTAAAAATAGCCTCGGTATACAGAAAGAAGGAGGTGTCGGGAAATATCTAGGCCTGCCGAAACACTTTGGTCGGAAGAAACGCGACATGTTTTCATCGATTGTGGACCGTATAAGACAAAAAGCTGCAAGCTGGAGATCGCGTCAACTCTCGGTAGGTGGGAAGATGGTAATGCTCCAGTCTGTTTTGGCAGCGATCCCGTCCCACTCCATGATGTGCTTCAAGCTACCAAAAAGCCTCACCAATCGAATCCAATCAGCACTAACTCGTTTTTTCTGGGATGATAATCCTGAAAAGAAAAAAATGTGCTGGATTGCTTGGTCCAAATTAGCCAAACCCAAAAATGAAGGAGGTTTGGGATTCCGTGATATTCAAATTTTTAACGACGCACTCTTAGCTAAGCAAAGCTGGTGTATTTTAAAGAAGCCGGAATGCCTCCTCTCGAGGGTGTTTCTTGGGAAATACTGCAAGTTTGAGCCCTTTCTACAGATCCAGCCGTCGAACTCTTGTTCCCACGGATGGAGAAGCATCCTCTGCGGTAGGAACCTGCTCATTGGGAACACAACAAAGACTATAGGCGATGGACATAGTACCAGTGTTTGGTATGATGCTTGGTGCTCCACCGAGAAATCCATCCAACCTATGGGACCACCAGAGTCCTCCTCGAGTGAGCTTAAGGTAGCTGATTTGATGATTGCAGGCACTAGCGAATGGAACAGAGAGCTGGTCTCCAACTTATTACCGAATGAAGCAAGTGAGATCATCTGTATTAAGGCCAGTAAAACAGGGAGCCCAGACACTTTCAGCTGGATCCCAACAATGAATGGAGAATATTCAACAAAAACAGGCTATTACGCTGGGCTAAAGATACTGGAACAATCTAACGATATCACGCCTAAGCAACAACCCTGCGACTGGATGAAAGATGTTTGGCTATTGCATGTGCCGCCCAAGCTGAGAATTTTCCTTTGGAAGATTGTCAGGGGAGCACTACCTCTGGGAGATAGCCTAGAGACACGAGGATTAAAGGATAGTGTGGCTTGTGTTTTCTGCGGACAAAAAGAAACAACAAACCACCTCTTCCTAACATGTGCTTTTGCGAAGAAGGTGTGGTCTCTTACTCCTATACTCAATGGGGACTATATAACCAACTCTACAAGCTTCACTGTGACACTCCGTTCGTCACGTCTGATCCCAAACCTACCGCCAACTGGAGTAAAATCAGGTTCTCTGTTTCCTTGGATTGTTTGGTCAATTTGGCTTGCAAGGAACCAAAGAATTTTCGAAAACAGAGTAAAAACTGAGAAGGAAACAGTATCCAAGGCCATAGTTGACGCGAGAGAATGGGAAGAAGCCCAGACTGAATCCTTGAGTCAGCCTACGATACAACATGTTCAAACGCCAGCACTGCCCTCCCACTCAGGAGTCATTACCGTTAACACCAACGCTGCATGGAGATAAGGATCAAAAACTGCAGGCCTCGCGTGGATCTTCAAGGATAGCAACGGTAGCATATTACTCCAAGGCAGCAAATCAGAGGAATGTGTTTCTTCTCCACTAGTCGCCGAGGGGCTAGCAGTCAGAGAAGACATGATACAAGCTCACAACCACGGTTTCTGCTCTCTCAACATTAAGTCGGACGCTCAGATACTCATCTGAGCCATCAAAGGGGGAGATTCTATCAAGGGACTTTTTGGAATTCTTCAGGACATCCAAAACTTAACTTGTTATCTCTCTGTTTTTTCTTTTACGCATGTTCCATGTTTGGAAAACACCGCAGCCGACCTTCTTGCAAAGAAGGCCCTGTCGGACTTGTACTCTGCAACCTAAAACGTTTT